ACCTCTTTCTCCAAATGGGATGGGTTGCCCATTAACCAAATCCAACTTGTTTCCATGACATTTTTTTCTTTGCTAGAAGGCTGGGCTGTCTTTTTTCATGTCTACAGATGCCACACCCCAGTCCTTCCACTTCCAGATTATTCTATTAACAGGCATCAGTGTTGTTCTGAATGCTATTTAGGAAGCAAGATGATCAGTTTTCAACATTTTAACGAGAAATGTGACATTGTGCAATGGGGAGCCATGAACACAGCATGGAAAGTCAATTGCTTGAACACAACCACTCAGTGCAACACAGTAGAGATGCAACGGGCTATTTGCCCACCCCCAGTGCATCTGACCATGTAACAGCTGCCAACAGACAGGCCCCAAGATGAAAAGAAAAAAAAAATAGACCTCTATTTGCAGAATAGACAAGCCTGCATTGTCAGCCTACTGCGTTACTGACACAATGGGTGGCAGAAAGACTCCTCCACCTTTGGTTCTCTTGACCAGCTACAAAGCCTCTGAGCACTTTCAATGGCTCCACTAGCAATAAAAAACAGTCAGAAGACTCCTACTAGAAATGTGAAAAAGGACTGGCAGAGAAACCGGAAAGCAAACCAAGCAGCAAAAGCACCAGACCCTGACCATGCACCCCTACAGGGGTGATCTGCATCCTTAAGGCTGAGTCAGAGGAACCCTGGGCAGCCCATGTCACATTAAAATGTTGAAAACAGCAGAGCGCTAGGTCTGAGTTTAAGTTGGGTCGAGAGAGGGGCAGGAAGAGGTTGGAGAGGCAACATCTAGGAAGAGGCAATCTTACCGCTGATGCGCTGGCGGAGAGAACGTAATTACGAGGTCTAGTCTCCTGAAAGTCAGGCACAGCCTAGTGGGGGGAATAGAGTTTCATGTACAAGTCATGCAGAAGAGTCGACACGAGTCAGTTGGGCAACGGATGGAAGAAGGGACTAGTGGGTTTTTTCCTGTCTGTGCTGGGAGCTTATTTCAAATTCTTAGGGGATGGCAGGAGGGAGGTCTCCCAACAGTCTGGGCAGTGGTGCGTGGAAGCCGGGCTTGTGCAAGAGGAGGTGGACTGGCTGATGCAGTCACACCCAGTACTTGAAGAGCAGTTGTTTCTACTTACAGCTATCCGCTCGTACAGCGGCCGTTTGGAGTGGAGATGAGACAGCACAATCTCAAATGCATTTCCCATTCCCTTGCAGCCAGCAGGTTGCTCATGTCATGTTGGCTCAGTCCAGTGGACAGGATCTTCTTTCCCCTTGCTTCCTGCCTACAGTCCTAGAAGTGTCCCTGTTACAGGGCCTTGTCCTTAAAGTGGGCACGTTTACTGGCATCAGAGCATTCTTTCCACAGTGCCTTTTAAAGAAACGTATCTACTTGTTCTTACTCTCACAAAGCTTCTGGGCATGTTTCCTCCTAACGGACTCAGATCTGCTATTTTTGGTAAGGGGCATGGCTTAGCCAGAGCACATCTACTCCAAAGCCTTGCTGTTGCCAAAGGTAGTGCATGAGTTTTCATCCCAGAGGTCAGAAAACCTCCAAGCTACATTCTCCATAGCTAAACCTGTGCCCTGGGGCAGGAAGACTTAAGCACTCTGGAGTTTTTCCTCATTGGGAATGCAAGGGATCCAGTTCACCTCCATACAGGCGTGGGCTCACTAACCATCACATAACATGGTCTCTCTATCCAGCTAATCTAAGACTAGGTCTCCTCCTAGGACGGCCTTTGGCTGTAGCATCACCCAAAGAGATAAGGCAACGAGCTAGCTCACATCAGGACCATCGCACTGGTGTGATGGACCAGGGTATCTTCTTGGTCAGCCTTTGCTGTGCAGTGGGTTGGTGTGCAAGGTTGGCACACGATCCAGCTGTAACCCCACTACGCTGTTAATCCTCTCAGGCCCCATGTTTCCTCTCCCAGGTTAATCTCTTTGCAGTTCACCCAGATCTGCTTATACCTGCTGACCTGATTTGCTGGGCTACGAGCAGCCTGCTGGAATGAGTGACCAGTGTGTAGAAGAGCAGTCAGGCAGTCCCAACAAGAGATTATTTTTTTTTTAAACCATCTAGGAGTTTTGGGGATGGCTGGAGGAAGGAATAAGGAGGAGCAATTACTATTACAAGTCAAACCTGAATATAGGGAGAAAAATGCACCAGTGAGCTTTGAAGCCAGCACAACCAGGCTTGACTCCTCCCTGTGGGGAGAAGAGATTTTTCACAGAAATAGCTGCTTATACTTTTTTTTTTAAAAAAAAAAAAGATCAAGAGCAACTGAAGAAACCTCTCCTCCCATTCCCTGGTCTCCAGGGAGTCCCCAAACTAGCCATAGCACATGGGATGAAAGAGGCAAGCTGCTCTTGCACTCCTATGCATGGAGAAATTGTATTTGCAAGCAGTGGTCAAAAGGGACCCACCTCCCTCCCCCTTCTGCTCTTCTAATGGGGAAAATGGGCAGAGCCCTGGAGCCTGGAGGACAGAACAGCACCACAACCAGATCAGCCTGCCTGTCATTGTCTCTGGGCTGCCTCCCTTCCAGGAGGGGGACTTGCCACCCAACCCATCCTCCTCCTGCCTGCAGCTGGAGGAGCCTGAGTGGGTCTTTACTGCAGCCCCTGCCTCTCTTGAGCACTGCTTGCAAGCAGCATTGATGGAACCGAGTGCATGCTCCAGAGGGGCTGCAGGCAACCAACAGATGCTCCCATCTTTCTGGAGAACCTTCCCCAGGCAGCCACAGCCCTGACCACGCTCAGTACATGCTCCAGGGCCAGTCCCAATGGGACAAGGCAGATACAAATTTTCATTTAAAATGGGAAAGAGACAATGAGAGGTGTTAAAGAAAAAATAAAAAATCACAGCACTGTTAGCACAGTCAATACTCACATCTCCCTCACACTGAGCAAATTACAAAGAAACAAAACAAAAAGGTTAGTAAACAAAACAGCATCAACAGGAAGGACAAAGCACAAAGTTTGAGGGAAATGCACAAGCCCAGACACTCGAACAGCAGCTCACAGGTCTTGAGCACTTGGAGGGTCAGTCACGAGACGGAAGCTGTGGGAACACAAGTTTGCACTACAGAGGGGAAGAGCAGCAAGAGAGGGGTGAGCTGGGAGGGGTGCAATACTTTAGGCCAGCTTGGATGGAGAGGTGTGACACAGGACTCCAGGCATGTTACAGGGAACCTCATAGTCTAATGATGAGTTAACCTGCCTAGAGCAGAGGTAGCAGTTCTCCCTCCCGTGCTGGGAGCTTCCACCTGTGCCTTGTCCTCTAGTAGTCAGTGAGGCACCCAGAGCCCTCAGGCCAGGGACTCCACCTTTAAGCTAAGCTGGGTAAAAGATGAGTGCCCACAACAGCAGCTGAGGTTGCTCTTCTGTTGTGTGATCTCTGTTCAAAGAAGCAAGAGTGGCTGAAACATGGCTTGAGGCGAACACCCTGCCAAACCTCGACTGGCTCTGCATCCTGCCTGGGGCACCCCAGCCCTGCAGTTCCAGTGGGAAACCAAGTTTTTCTTTTCTAGCTACGGGGAAGTCCCTCACCCAAGGGTCTGTGTGCAGGTGAGAGGCCTTGGAATCACTTCATGTAGGAAGCAAGGTAAAGAGGGTGGAAAGGGAGGGAGCACAGGAGGTATCTGAATCCCTGCTCTGATTTGAGCTTAAGATAAAGCTATGGCCACCACTTCCCACTGAGACTGGGGGGTACTGTCCCCTTCAGAAGGGGAACTGCCAATCCCTTCAGTGGATCTGGGTGACCTGACTGATGAGAGCAGGCTTTTGTAAAAGGGCAGCTATCGCTTTTGTTCACCCAAAGCTTTGTTCAGGGCTTTCCCACATAGTTTCCCCAGTCTGTTAGGCCTGCTGATGGAGGCCACTGAGCTTAGCACAGCTTCGCCATATGGCATGTACGGAGTTAGAGCCAGAGAAAAGCGAAAACACCTGGGAACTGGCTACCCAGGGAGCTGTAAGGCCAGAGGCCCAGCTGAGCAGATGGCTAGAAAACAGGCTCATGGCAGGGCTCCTGGGCTGGTATCCCAGTGCATCCTAGAGACTGACTGACAAGGATTCCTGCCTATTCTGATTGCACACATTTGCTAGTTGAGGTCCTGGCCCCAGGCTAGAAGCAGAACTTGGCAAGTCCTTGTGCCAACAGCCAGAGTGCTACAGGATGGCAATCTGCTTCAACAAGGCCCTCCAGGGAACCCATCAGTGCCCAGCTACATCCTCTCTGCCTCTTGCTACATCACCTCTGCCCAGGAAGAGCCCAGCTCCAGGAGATGGTCTGGTCAGCCTCAGACAAACACTTGTCCCCAGTGCTCTGGCCTGCGCACAGTGACACCGGCTGACTTACCGGTCCCTTCCGCACTGATTTGACCTGGGACCTTTGCTACTTTAGTTGCCATGATTTCCCCAGAGGGCAAAACTAGCCTGTAACTAGACAGCACCATGAATTAAGTGAATAGAGAGGCTGAAGGAAGGACCTCTTGGTAGCCAGTTTGACCCTGGCCACCCCTTAGAGGCTCCCACAGCACTTCAGCCTGGGGAAGACTGAGTTGGCAGAATCTTAACTAGTCGGAAAGCCTGAGACTGCTGCAGAGCACCAGCATGCCTTTCCCTTGTGCACCTCTCAGCTCAGCTCTCTCCTGGCTTGCTTTGAGATCCCCAAGGAAACTCAGCAAGTCGTCAGAAGATGCAGCCTTTTAGTTACTAGCGCAAATCATCCAGCAACCACGATCAGTCAGGAGGCAGGAGCCTAGGTCAAGTAGAAGTTTCCAGACTCTGGAAGCTCAGAACTATTTGTTTCAGCAACTCCCCCAAGGGAGGACATCTCAGGAACAGGTACATGGCTCCTGCTCCCAGTTCCCTTGCATACCAGACAAGGAATTCCCCCACTCGTGCCTGTCAGAGCTGGGACATAGTAGGGCAGCCTAATTTTTGTCCATGTGAGCCAAGCCCTGGGGCCAGAAGGACAGAAAAGGGAAATGAGGGGAAAAAAGTTACCGCTGCTTTTGCCTCGGCAGCTTTGGCTTTCTTCAACCTGGCTTTGCACGCATCCAGATCTAGACGGCGGTTCTGCAGGATCCTCCGCTCTTTCTGCAAGGGACAGAAAACGGGTAAGAGCAGTCTGCTCAGGAGCTGTTGGGGAGGGAAGGGGACAAGGTATCACATCCATTTCCTTATCAAAAAATGCTAGGGAGAAAGAAGCAGTTACTATGTTCATCTCGTTAGCTCTTGCTTTGGGCCTGACTGCCGGGATCCAGGCTAACCTTCTGGAAACAGGGCAGCTTATGTGTGGGTGGTGCCCACTAAGCTGCAGGAGTCAGGAAAGAAGTTACCTTCCTCCTGCATGTCGATTGGCAACCCTTCCCTGCCACAGACAGAACCCTGAGCGGATCTAGGATTGGTATTCCCCTACCCTTGCATTCTTTGAGGGGAGAGGTATGGAGTCCTCCTTTCTCATAGGGAAGGAAAAAGTGTTCTTCCAGCATTGTTTCCCTCTCCCCCTGCCCTCCTTGTCTCCAGTGACGTGACAAGCTTCCCCTTCGCTGCTACCATACTTACTGATATGGTTCGCCAATCCCCTTCCAGGAAGTTGCGCAGGGGGGTCAGGAAGTTGATGGAGGCAGAGTGGATGAAGTCCCGTTCTGCTGCACCTAAGCGCCTTTGAGTCTCTCCAACTTTTATCAAGGTCTTCCCTGCAATAACAGGAGCCTTCAACTCCAGGAGAAACCAATTAACATTGTGTTGGCTTCAGCCAACTCACCCAAAGCTACCAGGCTTCAGTGTTGGGGGACAAAGGTGCAGCGTACCCTGCCTGTGCAAGGTGACCATGCCGGTACCGCGCCAGCTTCAGTCCTAACTACAGTCTGCTTTTAGCTTGAGGCCTCTTCTCAGTTGTTCCCACTGCAGCTTTGATCTTATCTGTCTGCTGAGGTACTTATTCCACTGATGTCCTTTTACTGCTACACCTGCTTGCGCAGAATGATCTTTGTTTGTCTCATAAAACAGAGGCACAGGAACAGAGCAGCAAATTAAAAAGCACCAGAGCAGAAAAAATGAGTTGATTAGGCAGTGCTGGCTATAGATGCAGTTACAGCTGTTCTGCCTGTAACAGGACTCACTATTGAACAACTATTGATTTGGAGAGCAGGAACAAAGCTCATGGCAGAGGCAAGGACAGCTGGAAGTTAAGGCTGTGCTTCTGTGCAGGCTGCTGCTTAAAGAAGCCCAAAATTCCCCCAGGAAGGGGCCACTGTTAGGATTTAAGAGCAGAAAGATGCACTGTGTGGTCAGGAAGGGGCCTGATGAGGCTTGTGGCCAAGCACCTACCTTCCCAAGTCTGTTTTCCTGTTGTCTTTCTGCTGGAGAAAGATTTCCACCCTGTACTTGCAGGGCACAGTTAAAGGGTGGTTCTCCTGTTCAGAGTCTAGAGAAACTCCATGCAAAATGATACCACCTTAGACTAGAAATACGCTCAAACTGGACAACGCTAAAGCCATTCACTGCAACTCCCTATTCAGGCTACTTTAGAAAGCCACAGAAATAGCACAGAGTAGTTTCTGCATCCTGTAACCAGTTCCACTAGCTACCCTGGATCTGCATGGCTTTGTTTCTTCTCTAGCTCTGTCAGACTTGAGGACTGTATTGGGAATGAGGAGACCCCTGCCCCTTTTCCCCCACAGCATGGAGTACACTTTGCTGCAGAGTAAGACTTGACTTCCTACTCCAGATGGGCTCTTCTGTGCTAGAGGAGACCCTTCTTTGGCATCAGCTTCCACACACTAACAGGCAGGTTGCCATGGGGAGAGCAGGCCACCCTGCCCCCTTTTAGAGCCATGCTGCGAAAGTCGTAACCCAAAATAGAAGTGGGGATCCACTCTTAGGAAGGGATGGATTCCCAGGCCTTTTTAATTAGCCAGGCTGACTTACCATAAGGTGTCCCTGGCCCAAAGTCATTAGCTGCTTCTGTCATGTACTGTGCCAGCAGCTCCCCGTTGGTGACCCGGGAAGGCACCTTCCGGTCAAGCTTCTCATAGAGGAATTCTTCTACTCTGGCACCTGGAATGAGGATGCCACTGGTGGTTACAGGGCAGAGGATGAAGGAGAGGCCCCTGGAACTGGCATTCAGGGTAGCCCACCCCATGCACTCCTCAATAACGCATTGGAGAGCAAGCACCAGGAGAAGGTGTCCCTTCCCCAGTCCTCAGGAGCACTGCCAGGCTGCGTAGGGCAGCAGTCAGTCACCCCTCAGCTACACGGGGAAGGAAGGACAGGCCCTGCAAAGACACATTTCTTCCAACCCCCACAAACTCAATGCAACAGGGCTCTCTGCCAGAGGGCACGTCTTAACACTGAGCTGCAAGCAATATTTGTCCTTCAAGCATTAGAAGCTGGACTTACTAGGGTTTGGCTGTAGCAGAACCTCAGTTTGACGCAAGATCTTCTCTGTCCAGTTCTTTGTGCAGTCTGCCCTGGCCAGAAGGTTTTCAAAGTGGGCGTCCAGTTCAGTTTTCTCAGCCTGGCCCAACTTCTCTTCAGTAAACTGCAGGAAAGAGGTAGTCATTAGAAGGTCTGTGCTACTAAAGCAAAATCTCAGTGCGCTACACAGCTGTTAAGAGACACTGAGGCTTCTTCCATCTCATGCATTTATCTTAGATTAGAGCTAAAAAGCCTTCAAGGTGTCATTCTTTGTTCCCAGGCATCTTTCAGGGGAAGAGAGCAAGTTTTTGCCCACGAGTGGGACAAGCATTGAGCTAAAAATAGAGTCCAGGTTTGAGAGATGTTCCAGAATATGTAACTTTTAATACAGTCTGGTACAAAAATACTCGAGTTGTTAGGAATCTATTTAAATGTGCACATGGCTTCCACTACTTCATGCAGGACAGCAACAGACATTTTTGACGTGAGGGAAGGTGCCATCTCCCTTCTCCTCCTCCTAACCAACTCTATGTCCTGCAAACCCAACGGGATCAGGAGTGCCACTACGACCTCACAGGTCAGGCTTTCTTCTCATCTCATTAGACAAGGATGTACACAACATCGGTTTTGCTACAGGGCTTGTGAGTGCCCTCCAACAGCCATCAGACTGGCAGTGCCTGAGCGCTGCCTCCCTGCTCACCTCCTGCCTTGCTGCCAGTGAGCTGCCAACTGAGCATCTAAGGTTAAAGGAAGCTCAAACTCAGGATTTAGATAAAAATGCCTCCAGCAAGTGACTCTTCCTCTAGGACATGATCTGAAGCAGGGTACTGAGAGAAACGTAACAGTGTCTGACTTCTCTCAGCACTCAGATTCATACTGGCAATGGACTCTCCCTCTACAATTCCTTTCAAGTTTAAAATTAGCAGCAGGGAAAAGCAGGCTGTGCAAGTCTTCAGTGTTTTCATACTGGGCAGCAACATCTGACAAGCAAGGTTTGTTGGTCTGGAGGTACAGCATCAGATGGCCTGGACACCCCCCATTGCTTCCTTTGGGGATTTCTGAGAGAAGAGCCCATTCCCTCTCATCCCATCCCCATTTTCCACTTGCTCCTCTCAGTGAAGCTGGCCAACTTCAGTGTATTTTTAAGCACATTTCCTGCTCTTGACAGAGCCAGCATCTTGTTGGATCGTACTAAAAGACCCCTTTAGACAACTCTGCCACTTGGGATCCTACAGAGTTTGCAGTTGTCCTTTTAGCCCTTGTTGCTGGCCTCTGGTGCCACTGTTGAGTTACCAGGACATGGTACTGTACAATACCTGGTACAGTCAGGTGCCAAGAGATTAAAGCCTGGCTAAAACTCTTAAGTGAAATACAACTCCTGTCTGATCTGCCACTTGTACCTTCTCATCTCCCCTCCCCTACGCCACAGCTCAGCTCTAGATGGGCCAAGATGCCCTCTTCGTGGGGTCTTGGTCTGGTGTCTGCTGCCCCTCCTGAAAGGCTTTCTGGCAAGCTCTGTTCCTGCAGCTGCCCAACAGCCCCAGCCGCGTTCACATCCAGTACAATGCTGGGAACAAAGGGAGATAAGGAGCAAGCCCAGAACCAGCATGCGAGGCAGGTAAACAGCCTTTCGGAGTCCTGTTACCAGTCCTGCGCAAACATTACTAGATGTCCGAGATATACAAGCCCTGCAGGTATGTTTACAGTGACCTGTTTGGGCAAGATTCACGCTAGAGCCCGTGAACTCCTTTGCCAGACGTCGGTGGTGAGAGATACTCAGCTGCAAGGGCAGTCACACTCCCCCCTGCAGCCCAGTGGGGACCAAGGACTTGCAGCCAAGTGTGACCAGGGATCGCTTCACCAGTCTCTTCCTCCGCACCAGTAGCCCCTGGTTACTGGCAGTTATTTTCAGCTCAGTCTTGCCATGGCTCCCTGGCTACTGCTGGGCATGGCTAAAAGCAGCTCCAAGGTGAGAGGGTGTTTGTATTGCTTTGTACCTAACGGCTATGATTGTCTTTAGGGGACACAGACGACTATCAGACATGCGTGCGTGGTTGAGGCTCTCTTCCTCTGTCACTGTTGGAAGCCCAGGGCTGTTTTCAGACTCTGCCAGGCTGGGCTGAGTCACTGCCATGCAGCAAACTGGGACTTCCCAGGTATTTGGCACCAATTCTCAAGTCATCTGTTTAAGAGCTTTCTTAAACAAGCCAAGACTCTTTGATGCAAGCATAACACAGTCTCCCTTGCCCTCCTTTCCCAGACAGCTTTTTGAGATCTCATCTCATTTTCAATTCCAGCTCTTCCTCCTGCAGTTTAGACTCACCCTGCACCAGCATCTGCCCTGGAGCTGTCAAGCCTAAACTCAGTTTCTTATCAGCTGAATTTAGTCAGCTTCTTACAGCATTGCTGCAGAGTCAGATCACTGCTGAAGCCCTCCAGCATCTCCACAGTGCTACTGCCAGCCTCTTGAATCACTCCAGCTCTGGGGTCCTTTGCTATATTCACAAATGACATCTCCAAGCATCGCTGTCTTTTGCAGCCGTTTTCTGTAACCCGCCCCTTCACCCAGTGCGCTGGAACAACATGGGTCCTTTGCACGGCACTTGGCCAGGACTCAGTCACTCAGTTCTTATCTCAAGTCAGGCACTAAAGCCGTTTGTCTTGCCAGAGGGCTGAGGACACGCACTGTGGTCACTGCAAGCCTGGGGGCTATGCCAGGAGGGGAGGATGGGCAGGAATCTCAGTCACAGCCTGTGGGTCCAGAAGGTCAGGCCAGAAAACAATCTCTTATTCAGGCTTTCTTTCAGAGTTGGAAAGCAGGGCATGAATGTCATGAATTGAGTGCAAAGGCACGGGAGGCTGTAGCTCACATGCTTGGAGACTGTTACTCCATTTCCACCCAATTCCCTTAGTGTCTCGCCCACCCTGCCCAGAAGTCAGCTATGCCACAAAGCCCAGACGCAGGCCCAGCTGGTACCATCCCATTGCCGGTTGCTGCAGAGGGTGCTCTTTTCCTTCCCTGTAACACACTTGTACCTCCTTGTCTGTGCACGGGGACTCACTGATTCAGCTCAACTTGACCTGACATTTTAGATGGCTGAGAGAACTCACCCAACTTCACAGCACTACTGGGAACGTGCCGTCAGGTGCAGGGGAGAGCAGGACCACCTTGTAGTGCGATCAGATGATGCTTCTCATGAAAGCACAGCCAGAGAAGAGGATCAGGGGTAAGTTACACTGCCTTATCCTATGAGCTGGTTCTTGTGTCTGGTGCAAGTGGAGATCTGAGCTTTCAGGTGGCAACAGGTCTCAGCTGCTTATCCCCTCTCGGGGACTGGCTGCCCAAGTCAGTGTCCCCAGAAAAGCAGGGTAGAAGAACAGCAGTTTGTGAAGCCTGGCTACTCAAGCACTTCAAGCAAAATGCCTCCGTAAAGGATTTCTGTTCCTATGAGTTTGTTGTTATAACACTCACAGAAATTTCATTATCTTTCCTTCCCATTGAACAGACAAAAGATTTCACTGTGAGGCCAAGAGATGCCAGAGAACAGATGAGCTGATCATACAGTTATGCCTCCTGACTGTAAAAAGACAGATTAAAAATATTTTGTGTCTTGCTGCTCCTGGACTAGAGGCATAGCCATCTTTTGCAGCACCAAGTACTCCAGACTGCCACAAATGGGAGTGTTATTTGGTTTTATCAGGCTGACCTCCAGGCTTGGTGCATATCCACCTGCAGAGAGTCAGGGCGGGCAGAGCACATGCAATTGCAATGCCTGGGGAGAACCTTAAGCTCCTCCTGCTGAGGCAGAACTACTCCCATTTGTTTTCTAGAACCTGACAGTTGGGTCAACAGTCCCACCCTGAACCAATTCCAGGATCTGCATCCTGGGATCAGGTGCCAGGTCGCAGTGCTGAGAGGCTCCACGGATTCTGCTCTGCAGAAAGCATCCCTGCAGCTGACCCAGCTGAGCACCAGTCCCGTCTTCGTGCAGGGAAGCCGATGAGGTGATTAATAATGCAGGGCAACCTTTTGTCGAGTGCCACTCTCGCTCTCCAGGAAGAGGGGAGTCGTGCTGCATTCCAGGGTATCAATAATTCAGCCAAAGGTTGGGTTTCCTCTGGGAGGCTTGGCTGGCCAGCAGGAACGCTAGATGCATTATCACGGCCCATGCGGGCAATCAGGCTGACAGATCAGGAGAGCAGCACTTGGGCGACAGGCCCAAAAGAAGCAAGACTCTGCTGGACTGCAGTTCAGGCAGCTGCCTGCTTTCACAGCCTGGGGGGAAAAAACTCCCCTTTCACCCCCCAAGAGAGTTGGTAGAGACAGTATTGGGATGTCAGGAGGGTCAGCAAGTAGTGCTGAGCTGAATGGGTCCCTCCGCACTACAGCGACAATATGAAAAAGGCTGTGCCTGTAGCCCTAGTGACTTAAGGCCATCAAGGTTAGGATTTGAAATAGCACATGTTGTTTTTCTTTGCTGAAAGCATTAGCACCTTTCTCCCCTTAAAAGTGAGGGGAATAAAATCCCAGTGCTCCCACTGAGTCATGCCAACACCACAGCTGTTTTGCACAATACAGCATGAATTGTCTTGTGTCTCTTCGAGGCTTGTGTGATTTTTCCATCCCTCTCCCCTCCAGCTGGCCCAGGCCTGTATGCTGTGAGCTCTGACAGGGCAGCTGCAGCCCCCTTGTAGAGGATCTGGTAGCAGAGTTCAGGCAGAGTACCCAGCTTTTCCAGCTGGCCATTACTTAGGACTTCCCACCATAAATCACAAAGATCAAACCAGGGCCAGGAGTCAAAAAACAGGAATAGTCTCCTGCACCTGCCAGTAGTTTTGGGCCGTTGGTATTTTCTGAAGCCTCCAAACAGCACAAAATGCCCAAGCTATGGTAACATTTGCTCTTTAGGTGATCAGAGGCACAACAGAATCGGTTGAGGCAAATCTACCTCCCACCTTGTACAGGTTAGGAAAGAAGCCACAGGCACTCAGTCAGCACCTAAAAACTACCTGAATTTCAATGGCTCGGGACCAGATAGAGAGTATGCTTCAAGTACATGGTCACCAGGAGTCAGGAAAGCTAGGCTGTGAGCCAAGTGAAACCGTGTTAGAGGACAAAAGGAAGCCATTAACAGGACAGCTTGC